GGATATATTGAAGGAGTACTTTAAGGTTCCGGCTGCATCAATATTTTGTCTACAAGATTTCTCTTCAACTGGGTTCATGGACATCACATTCATGCAACTGAAAGACTGCGTCGACTTTTACGAGAGATAGTTAACCTCTTAAGCCCGAGAGTCCCCGTACCGGGGTCTTCCCCCCTTGTGCGTTACATTTTCGCTCATAGCTCACTAACCCTGAGAATAACCCACACATATTAAATACTGTTGTGCTCAGCGGAAACTCCTATAAAAACGTATCTAATTCAATTTCATATCCTTGAACCACAGCTCGAACGCCATGCAAATAAACAACAACATAGCCGGAGTATAATTCATGACAAAGTTTTTGTTTATGTGCGATATGTATCCACAATATAAACGGAAACACCAAAACCATGGCATCAAATGAAAGCTAACAACCAGCTGAATCCAGCGATATGCAACTCATTTACATTGCATGAAGTCTTTTAGAGCAGGGAGCGAAAGTTCCCCGAAAAAACGCCAGCAAAAAACAAGCAAGCATGTAATCCTTGTCTTACCTTTGCCGTTTTTTCAACAAAAAGTTATGTCCATAGCGATAAAAGTCCGTTTGTTATTATGTCCGGTCGATAGCTTCGCGGAAACTCCATTTTGGCTCATTTCTGTAGCTCTCTGCTCGCGTAACGTCACCAAATATGGAAACGCTCCCTGTGCGTAAGTGCTGGTCTCTCCACGCTGCGCGTCCTGTGATTCGTCGGGGATCATGTCAGTCTCAAAATGGTGGAGATGTAATGGGAAAATTACTTCTTTGCCATCCATGTATACACTTTTATTGTGATTTTATTAGTCAAATGATTCTTGTGCCATATGATTTCTGTATACAGTTTTATTCTGGTTTTACCTCTTGATTTTCCCTTGAAAATGTCTCAATGTCATTTAAGCCCAACCTTAACATCTTGTACTGTGCCTTGAAGCTTATCCTCCTGTGCTCCATGATATGAAGATACGAATATCTCTAGACCCCTAGGCACCACACCAACACGCCATAACATCTCTGACCATAATGTAGGAATCAACTCTGGTGCCCGACATCCTACATACGTAAGGAGTCTAATCAGAAGGACATGAATGACGCACAGGAGGGTGGTCTCCACGTTACAAATAGAGGACTCCAGAAACTGTCAGACATGTTCACATTGAGAACGCTGTTCTCTGTGTTTTGTGGTGTTCTCACTGTGAATCATCAATAAAGAAGCTTCTTTTTAAAATGGTTTTCTGTGCTGTTTGTTTCCTCCAGACGGTCTCTCTCTCTCTCAGCAAGGTGAAGGCTCATTTCCACCACAGAGATCATTGGCTTCCTCAGAGTCCAAGCTTTTTAATGATATATAGAGCTCCCGGATTGGACAGATGGTCGGGGGGTGGGGACACGCGGAATTTAGAACCTAGGAAGTACTGTGAATGAAACGTTACCCAAAAGCGCAGGAAGATGGCGTAAATGAGCTTCCACCCCCCTTTTACAGCGTTTCGTTAGGAGTTTTTTTTGCTGAAATCATGTTCCGTAAGCAAGAAAAGAAGACTATGAATGTAGCTGAAGCTTTGGACAAGATTTTTTCCATATTTCAATTATTGTGCCAAACTGTGCCAACATGGATTACGCCTGAACTTTGTTCAATCAAAACCTGTACAGAATATTAGTTTCTTGTAGTATGAACACCAAACTTGCTACAGATGTCCTTGACATGTAGTGGTTACAATTGATTGTGTTTATTTGCTTCGTTATAAGTAAAATAAGGAGATATTAGAGGAAACATGTGTTTTTTTTAGGCAGAGTTCATTTTTTGGCCATTCCAACATCAATTACTCTTACCCAGTGTTCTTGACTGTCAAATTAACTCATCCACACCACTCTCCAAGAACCTATCTTCATTTTGATACCAATATTTGCAGTTTAGACCTTGTAAAAGCTGAGAAATGCCTTAAAAAGTAAAAGTATAGGATTTTCGGAAAATAGGCCTCAGGGCTTAAGAGGTTAATCGCCTTTAAGAAAATGTAGAGGTTAATAACCACTACACTACGGAAACCTACACAGTTGTAATTTTCACATTTTTTTTCAATCATTTTGGATAAAATAACACAAAAGTTAAATTCCTTAATGTCCAAAAACAAAATACCACAGTAGATTTTCAGAAAGAGCTCTTCATGTTGTTTCCGCCCAGTTTCGAACTAGGGAGCTTTTACAAATAAGGCACACGTAATAACCACTACACTGTGGAAACTTACACATTTGTAATTTTCACTTTTTTTCAATCATTTTGGATAAAATAACACAAAAGTTAAATTCCTTAATGTCCAAAAACAAAATACCACAGTAGATTTTCAGAAAGAGCTCCTTCATGTTGTTTCCGCCCAGTTTCAAACTGGGGACCTTTTGCGTGTTAGGCAAACGAAATAACCACTACACTACGAAAACTTAAATAGTTGTAATTTTCACATTTTTTTCAATCATTTTGGATAAAATAACACAAAAAGATAAAATCCTCAATTTCCTAAAACTTCTTTTCCTTTCGGCTGTTCCCAGTTCAGGGGTCGCCACAGCGAATCATCCTTTTCCACCTAACTCTGTCCTCAGTATCCTCTACTCTTGCACCAACTACCTTCATGTCCTCTTTCAGCACATCCATATATCTTGTCTTTGGTCTTCCTCTTGACCTCTTGCCTGGCATCTCCATCTCCAACATCCTTCTACCAATATAACCTCTATCCCTCCTCTGCACATGTCCAAACCATCTCAATCTGGCCTCTCTGACTTTGTCTCCATAACAACCAACCAGAGCTGTCCCTCTGATGTGCTCATTCCTAATCTTGTCCATCCTTGTCACTCCTAAACTGAACCTCAACATCCTCATCTCTGCTACTTCCATTTCTGCCTCTTGTCTCTTCCTCACTGCCACAGTCTCCA